TCTGCACAGCAAAGGTAACAATCAACAAAATTAAATGAGAAAAGATATTTGCAAATGACATAGCCAATAAAGGGTTAGTATCCAAAATTATATGTATAAAGAACTGATACAACTCAACACCCAAAACACAAATAATTCAATTTTAAAATGAACAAAAGACATGAATAGAAATTTTCTCAAAGACATCCAGATGGCCAACAGACACGTGGAAAGATGCTCAACATCACTGAACATAGAGAAATGCAAAACAAAACTACAATTAGATATCATCTCACACCTATCAGAATAACTAAATGCAAAAACACAAGAAACAACAAGTGCTGGCAAGGATGTGGGGAGAAAAGGAAGCCTCTTACACTTGGTAGGAATGTAAACCAGTGCAGTCGCTGTGGAAAACAGTATGGAGGTTCCTGATAACCTTAAAAATAGAACTACATTATAATCCATCAATTGCACTGCTGGATATTTACCCCAAAAAAACCCATAAGAACACTAATTTTCAAAGGATACACACACCCCTATGTTTATTGCAGGATTATTTACAATGGCCAAATTATGGAAGCAGCCCAAGTGTCCACTGATAGACAAGTGGGTAAAGACAATGTGGTGTACACACACACACACACACACACACAGAGGATTATTATTTAGCCATAAAAAAGAATGAAATCTTGCCATTTGCAGTGACATGGATGGACCTAGAGATTATCATGCTAAGTAAAATAAGTCAGTCAAAGAAACACAAATATATGATTCCACTCATAGGCGGAAGTTAAGAAACAAAACAAATGAGCATAGAGGAAAAGAGAGAGACAAACTAGGAAACCGACTCTTAACTATAGAGAACAGACTCATGGTTACCAGAGTGGAAATGGTAGGAGAATGGGTTCACTAGCTGATGGGGATTAAGGAGTGTGCACTTGTAATGAGCCCTGAATGTTGTATGAAAGTACTGAATACTGTACACCTGAAACTAATATTATGCTATATGTTATCTAACTGGAGTTTAAATAATAGCCTTACTAAAACAGTAGGAAGAAAGGAAGGAAGGAAGGAAGGAAGGAAGGAAGGAAGGAAGGAAGGAAGGAAGGAAGGAAGGAAAGAAGGAAGGAAGGAAGGAAGGAAGGAAGGAAAGAAAGGAGAAAGACAGCTCCCACAAAGCAATCCCAAGTTTCTGTCTTCAAAAGGAGAGGGGAGAAAACAGAAATGAACACTGATGCTAATGTATAAGACAAATAACCTTTTCCTTTCAGCTCTTAAAAAACCTGCCTGAAGACCACCAAAGAACACCACCACATACTTTAAAAACCAGCCTGTTTCTCCTGCCCTCTCTCCATTCTGTGCACTATAATTCAATGAGGGTCGAAGAGTGGAAATGTGCAAGGGTGAAAGGAACCTAGGGACAGATGGCCTCCGAGTGGCACGTAACCTCTGAAACCCGAGGGCCCACAGCAATCGATCATTGCACAGCTACATGACCTTAGTGCTTCACCCTAAACTCACAGAAAAGTGCCCTTGAAAAAGTAACCACTTTCCTTTTAAGGTTAATCCTCTGGTTGCTCCAGACTTCGGATTTGGAAGGAAGAAGGCTAAAGGAGGAAAAGGAGGGTAGAGTAATTAAGAAGAAGAGATGATTTTTCCAAAGCCATAGCCTTTACGCCAAAGTGATCAAATCCATACCAACTTCTTGGGAGAAACCATGTTAAAAAGAGCTCCACGTAAGACCCTAAAGGAATACATCCACAACAAAGTAAAGGAAAATAAAAATGTCAGCTTGATTTTCAAGAGGCACCCCGCTGGTGTGACCCCGACGCCACCACACAGCACCTGGTCCCCGCCGTGCCCCCAGTGAAAGTGGAAGTTCCAAGTGCAGACTGTATGGCCTCGAGCACCTTGGCGGCCCAGCGGCTGCGGGATGCGGCGACCACGCGCCGGGAGAGGCCGGGCCGGAAGCCTCTCCGGGCGCCGCTCCTGGTGGGAAGTGCGGTGGAGGCGCGCTGCGGTCCCGCCTGGAGCCAGAGCCGCGCAGAGCCCCCGCCGGCTGCTCTGCCGGCCTCGGCCCGCAGGCGTCTCGCGGGCTGCCCAGGTGGCGCGCACCGGCCGCGGGAGACCCTTCTCCGCAGCGGCACGTCGGGAAGCAGTGGAGTCCGCGGGCGGAGCCCTTGACCGCAGCGCGGCTGCACACCCACTGCTCAGGCTTTGGGACTCGCCTGTCCCGGCCTCCACGCGCTCCGCGCTCACCCTCCACGTCCCTCAGCTTCCGCCTCCGTTTCTCCCCAGCGGCCCCGGGGAAGTTTCCCACAGGCACCCCAAATGCCAGCGAGGATCCATCCCCCGAAGGCTGGAAGCCCTCTCCGCGCCGAGCAGTGGTCGCCCCAGCGCCCCGCTCCTGGCTGGGAAGAGCCGGACTCCCAGGGTGGCACGGGCCGCTAGGCCACCCTGTGGACTCCCCAAGCCCTTGGTGTGCGCGCCGCCAACCCCCCTGCTGGTCCCGTGGAACCGCCTTGGGAGCAGGAGAGACTGAAAGGAGGCGTCCGGGACAATCAAGGGACCGGAAGAGGGTAGTGATAGTATTTCGCTGTGAAGGCTCCAGCTTGTCGCTACCTTTGGGCATCTCATGGTCTGGCCCACGCCCCGGCTTCCCCAACCGGTTAAAGAGGCCGGGATGTGGGGAAGGTGTGAGCGGATCCAGCAGTACCCGATAGAAATGGCGCTTCCGCAGCTGCAGGGAAGGGGCTCAAAATCTTTTGGTTTTCACTAAGGAGATTTAGGGGGGACTCAGGGGCTAAAAAAGGGCACCTGAGCATGTATGTAAATAAATAAATCCTGCTTGCAGGGAATGCCTGCCTGGGCGGCCGTGGTGTCGGGGAATCAGCTCTATCCTTTCGTATTTGAACTGTGCAAGTTGGATGAATCCGGTTCTTGGGGGTTTTCCATAAAGTAGAAGTCTCTACACCATCACAGAACCAAGGATCTACTTCCAGGCTGACATTAAATGGCAGCTGTTTAATGGTGACCAAAGGAGAAGATTCACTAAGGGATAGAAATCAGCCCGTCATGCTCCATGCTCTCATTGGGTCTCCTGGTCTTCTTCTTGTTGGATGGTTTTCCTAACCAAAAAGAAAGACAAAGTGCTGCCCAGCCACGGTTCCAATGAGCCCTAGGCCCCAGTACAGCTGCAGCTCCATGGAGCTGGGGAGGCAATCCTCTGATCAGATGCACTCATCTGGTGGCTCATCTGGTGGCCGGTAGCTCGTTTTCCATCCCAGTAGCACTCCCTCCCTCTGGAGTCCCTCTCCCCTCCGCTTTTTTCTTAAAAGTACAGCTTTTAGCTAAATTGCTCAGTAAAACAGGCCAGCTTTCCTAATGCTCCAAGCCTCAGTCCTCAAAGCTTGCAGGAGTATTGGATGAGGAGCGGGGTGCACCAGCCGCGAGTCTTCCCTGGGGTCCAACCCACACTGGCTATTCTGGTCAATCAAGTCCCTAATTCCCAGGAGGCTTCCGTGGCTACCTGCAAGCTCTCCAGGATCCAAGCAGCCACTAAGGTGCACACCAAGGGACTGTGGATGTGCTCCCAAAGAGTCCCATTGTGAGAAAGGGTGAGTCCGGATGTTGTGAACCCATCTCAAGCCCAGAACAGGGAGCTAGTGGAAGTTTCCTGAAAAAGTGAGAAGTGCTGCTAACTGGGAACTTTTCCTCTGGATAAAAAATGATAATAAAGGAGTATTAAAAACTTAGACTAGTACAATAATAAATTGGCCAGGAACTTTAATGGATCTTTGAATGGTCCTTGCATCTTTGACATGGTTATTGTGTCTGTTCCTCTCACATACAAACACATTGTTAAGAATTAAGGCACACAGGGCTGAGAGATTTCACTAACTCCACACCTTGTTTAGCAGCGGACTGAAGACTTGAACTTATAGGGGATGGTAACAAATCACAGGATTTAACCATGATGATATGCTGAAAAAGCTGGATGGCAATGTTCTTCCAGTAATCTAGATCGACATTTAGGTGTCTTCATAACTTGTTCTCATATTTTAGATTACAGTATGTTATTTATAATACTGGCTATGACAAGTTTCCCTTTATGTGCAACGATTTATTTTGTATGCCAGTAAAAATTATGCATAAAGCTTCTGAGATCTTAATAAATGTAGATACTCTGAAAAAAAAAATAGATACGCTGATTGTAACACAGTACAATAGGAACCTGGCTCAAGACCAAGTTGGACTTAATGACTGCAAGATTCACTCAGTATTAGTATGGTAGCAGAGAATTCTGTTTTTAAATAGGAAGAAAACAGAGTGGTACCTGTCACTATAGCATTGAATTATTTCATACGATGCTCCAAAGAATGGTAGATAAAATACCAATTATACCAAGGCTGCAGGCTACAAGGTTAAGGTACAAAAATTAACTGCCTTCAAGATACCAGAAATGAACAAGTGAATTGAAAATTAAAAACTAAAACCATTTACATTAGACCAAAACAAGAAGTTCCATCACAGACAGCATTATGGCAATACTTCATCTGTGATGAAGACACAGCATCAATAGATTTTCAACCACAGGTTCAAAGTCAATAATAAAGTAACCTCATTAAGAAATCTAAAAGGGGGCGCCTGGGTGGCTTAGTCGATTAAGCGTCTTTCGCTTAGGTCATGATCTCGCGGTTGGTGGGTTCGAGCCCCCCGTTGGGCTCTGTGCGGACTGCCAGCTCAGAGCCTGGAGCCTATTTCAGAGTCTGTATCTCCCGCTCTCTCTGACCCTCCCCTGCTCACGCTGTCTCTCTCTCTCCTAGGAATAAATAAAAATATTAAAAAAAAAAATCTAAAAGAACAGGGATGCCTGGGTGGCTCAGTCAGTTGAGCATCTGACTGTGGCTGAGGTCATGATCTCACAGTTTGTGAGTCTCACGTGGGGCTCTGTGCTGATAGCTTAGAGCCTGGAGCCAATCTCAGATTGTGGGTCTCCCTCTCTCTCTGCCCCTCCCCCACTCACATTCTGTCTCTCTCAAAAATAAATTATTTTTAAAAATTAAAAAAAAAATCCAAAGAATAAAAAGATTCTATAAACTTAAGGGGTTTCCACAGATGTCCCTGATCCTTTGACACCCATCATCTCGTGAATTTTAAATCATTTTGAGTTTTAATTTACCTGCAGAGTATAACATTTGATTTGATTAATCTTGAAGAACTAAGCTTTGTTCTCATTATTAGGAATTCTGACATGTACACAATACATTGTGGAACCTGCTTAAGCAATTTACCACCTAATTATATTTGTAGGATTTTCTCCAACATGAAATCTTTGGTAAATCCTGAGATCAAGTCATGTCATGAGGGTCGTGCTGTTAATTCTTTTATAAAGTTTCTTCACAGTATACATTCCCTTATGACTCCAAAGGTGAGAACACTTAATAAAAGTCTTATCACACTCTCTATATCTTCACTCTATGTATATTCTGATGTCTACTGAGGCTTGAATACTGCTTAAAGGATTTGCCACATTCATGACATTTGTAAGGTATCTCTCCAGTATGAATTCTTTGGTGAACTGTAAGGCTTGAATTCTGACTAAAAGCCTTGCCACACACATTGCATTTGTAAGGCTTCTCTCCAGTATGAATTCGTTCATGACGCCAAAGGTGGGAACGTATCATAAAATGCTTACTACATACATTACATTTATATGGTTTCTCTCCAGTATGAATTCTCTGATGCCTTGTAAGGTTTGAGAACCTGTTAAAGGCTTTGCCACACTCATTACATTTGTAAGGTCTTTGCTCAGAATGAATTATTTGATGATTAGCTAAGGTTGAACAATGGCTAAAAGCCTCCCCGCACTCATTACATTTGTAAGGTTTCTCTCTACTGGGGATTTCCTCATATTGTGTCAGTAATGAAGGATGCATAAGAACATTCCCATATTTATTAACAATGTTGGTTTTGACCCTAGAAGCAACTCTTTGAGGTGGTGAAACTGAGGGTGTTTTGGTAGACTTCTCAGCTTGATTACTTTCATAAACTTCCTCTTGAGTTTGAAATCTCTGCAGTTCAGCCAGATGTGAATGAAAGCTTAATCCATGCCTATTGTCCAAGCAGTTCTTATACTTGTTTCCTGAATGGCCTATCTTGTAGTTTAGTTCCTGGTTCATCATATCATGTTTGTAATATGGAGATGTACTTCTTATGGAAACACTGTGCTTTACAGGGAAATTATTCCAGGATTTAGGATGTTGTTGGTCTTCTCTACAGGTGAGATTTTTACAATAAGATGTAGTTATTCCTTCATATTTTTTTTCTTCATAAATCCACTGAGTCTCAAGTTTGTTCACATCTTGTTGGACTTTATTCAAATCAAAGTCATCAAAGTCATGACTTATGTCTCTTTCAAAAGTAAACACTTGGAATAATTCTCCATTATTAACGTAGTCTCTTGGTGATAATTCTTTGCCCACATATCTAGTAGCAATATCTGTAAAATATAAATAATTGTAGGCTTCTTATTAACCAGAGTTTGAAGATGGATCTTTACACTGAAAAGTATTACACCAAAAGTAAAACTCACAACTGACAGAGTTATCAACTATGGTGTGCAAATGTATAGAAACATAAAAAACATAAAATTCTTCAGTAAAGAAGGATGATTTCATGTGGTTTAAATTATTTTCAGGGAAACCTGTTTTGCAATGCTCTGTGGTCAAAAGTTCCAACTCCAGTGGGGTGCCTGGGTGGCTGAGTTAGTAAAGCAGCAGACTTCAAGTCAGGTCATGATCTCATGACTTATGGGTTCGAGCCCTGCGTCGAGCTCTTTGCTGACAGCTTGGAGCCTGAAGCCTGCTGGGGATTCTGTGTGTCTCTTTCTGTCCCTCCCCGATTCGCACTGTGTCTCTTCTCAAGAATAAACATTAAAGGGGCGCCTGGGTGGCTCAGTTGGTTGGGTGGCCAACTTCGGCTCAGGTCATGATCCCACAGTTTGTGAGTTCGAGCCCCACGTCAGGCTCTGTGCTGACAGCTCAGAGCCTGGATCCTGCTTCGGATTCTGTGTCTCCCTCTCTCTGTCCTCCCCCTACTCACACTGTGTCTCTCTGTCTCTCAAAAAATGAATAAATGTTAAAAAAAAAAAAAAAAGAATAAACATTAAAAAAAAAGTTTCCAGTGCCCTGAAATAATGGAATTTCCGCAGGCACCCTAAAGCTTACAGAACCTCACAAGAGGGATAAAGGTGAATCATATTTGAAAAAATGTACATACTAAAGCTAACAATACTTATTGTACACTATTAAGACCACATTTTGAAGATAATAAAACATTATTCTGAATACTTCCTCCAAAAATATATCCGTGCAAATAGGCATACCACAATGTTAATGATTAGTGCGCTGAGGTTATATACCATAATATACTTAAAAATTAATTATGTGTTAATCATGCGTGTTGAGAGAAACATACAGCAGCAATCACAAGAGACATAAAAAACCCTAGGAAGGGAGAATATTATGATCTCCAAAGTTTCAGCATATTCAAAATATCCTGTTTTAACAAGAAGGTACAAAGGAGGTAACACAACAATAAAATCACAACTTATACAGAAAAATAAATAACAACAAATCTTGGCCCTAAAAAGCCCAAACTTTGGAATTATTAAACAAGCACTTTAAATCAACTATTTAAGCTAAAGGAAATGATGGACAAATAATTAAAAAGAAATCCAGAAAACTGTGTTTAAATAAACAGAGAATATCAATACAGAGATAGAACATGGAAGATGAAAGCAAACACATTCTCAAGTTTAAATGTAAAATACTCAAAATATAAAATACACAAAATGAAAAACTTCACAGAGAAGTTCAATAGCAGATTTCATGAGGTAGAAGTAAGATTCAGGAAACTGGTAGGGAAATCCATTGAAATCACCTTGTCTATGGGGCGCCTGGGTGGCTCAGTCGGTTAAGTGTCTGACTTCAGCTCAGGTTATGATCTCACAGTTCATGGGTTTGAGCCCCGCGTTGGGCTCTGTGCTGACAGCTCAGAGCCTGGAGCCTGTCTTCGGATTCTGTGTCTCCCTGTCTCTCTGACCCTCCCCTGTTCATGCTGTCTCTCTCAATCTCTCAAAAATAAGTAAAACATTAAAAAAAAAAAAAAAAAAGAAAGAGATCACCTTGTCTGAGCAGCACAAAGGAAAGAAGGAATACAAATGAACAGAGTCTAATAGTTCTGCCAGACAACATCATGGGGACCAATATATGAACAATGGGGGTCCCAAAAAGAAAGAGAGGGAGGCAAAGGAATATGGAGAAAATAATGGTAGACAATTTCCTAACTGTTAAAAGACATGAAAATCTACTAATCTAAAAACTCAGTGAACACACAATTATAAAAAATTCAGAGATGCACACTGCAACAATTCATGATCACTACTAAAAAGAGAATCTTGAAAGCAGGAAATGAGAAGTGTCATATAGGAAGCACACACAGTAACTTCCAGAGCTGATTGTTCAGCCAAACCATGAAGTCAAGAGACCATGGGATAACATATTTAAACTGTTGCCAAAGACAACAAAAACAAAAACCTATCCATCAATTCAATCTCCAGAAACACTGTCCTTTGAAAATAAGGGAGAAATTAAGGCTTAATACAGAAACAAAAGGTGAGGAAGTTCCTTATAACTAAAACAGCACTACACGTTATTAAAAAATGGCACATCTTAATTTATTCTCTGAGGCAAACATTATTCTGATACCAAACAAAGACATCACAAGAAAACGACAGAAAAATCTCTTATTAAATAAAGATGTGTAAAAGTCTTCAGCAAAACACCAGCCAACTAAATAGAAAGCATATTAAAATCACAAAACATTAAGTAAAAGGGACTTACTCCAAGAATTCAATGGTAGAAAGTTCAACATATAAACATCTATCATTGTAATAATCCACATTAATAGAACAAAGACAAAAGGAAAAAAAAAAAACCTATTTAATGACCTCATTAAATATAGTGTATGCAGAATATTTGAAATATTCTAGAACTCTTAAATGACAAAATACTCAGCATACTCAGAAGAGAAGTGACCTTTCTCAATCTTTAAAGATTATTTATGAAAATCTACAGCTAATATTCTAGAAGAAACAGGGCAGACTTACCCTAAGATAAGAAATAAGACATGAATATCCACTTTCATTGCTGGTATCTAACACTACTCTGCAAGTTCTAGCCAGCACAATAAAACAAGAAAAAAGGAAATCAAGCACAGATAATGGAAGAGAAAAGGAAAATTATCTCTGCGTGAAGATGACACAGACAAATCGATATAATATACATAAACATATATATACATATATATTTACATACCCCCCAACATACATAAACACATACAACCTGCTAATGTTCAAAAAGATGTCAGGAAAGTTGCAGGATACAGTACCAACACTCACTTGTGTTTTATACACTATAATGAAGAATCTGAAAAGGAAATTTTTAAATTTTAACCAAGGAGGTGAAAGATCTGTAGACTGAAAACTGTAAAACACTGCTGAGAAAAAAATAAACACATAAATAAATGGAGACATTTATATTAAAAAAAAAAAAAAAGTAATATTGACCAAAGTGGTCTGGAGATTCTACATAGAAATGTCAAAATTCCAAAAACCATTTTTAAAGAGGTAAAAAACATGGGGCAGGTTGGGTGGCTTAGTGGGTTAAGCATCTGACTTCAGCTCGGGTTATGATCTCATGGTTCGTGAATTCGAGTCCCACATCGGGCTCGCTGCTGTCAGTGTGGAGCCCACTTTGGATTCTCTCCCCCCCCACAAAAAAATAAACAAACATAAAACAAAATTTTTTTTTAAGTGCAAAACATGATACAATACATACAAAAATGCAAAGGGCTGTGAAGAGTCCAGACAAAATATAAAACCTACAGACAGATAAACAGAGACAGATGCAGACTAGTAGTTTCTGGGACTGGGGACAGAGGAAAATGGGGAGAAACTGCTTAATGGGTAAACGGGAGTGATGGAAATGTGCAACTAGGCAGAGTTGGTAGTTGAACAACCTGTAAATGCGCTAAATTGCTCGCTTGAAAATGGTTAACTTTATGTTATGTGAATTCTACTTTAATTAGAAGTTCTTTCTAAACTAGCTAACAACTGAAGTTATTAATTTCACAAGAGATTAAAAAATTTGAAACTAAGTCTATTTATATAATGTAAAAATAAAAGTGTCTCTTAGGCTGGCTTCCTCTAATACCCTGAAGTTCTATCACTGGATCTATCATACATGAAACATATGTGAGGTGAGGGATGCTTTCACCAAATGTATTAAAAAGCATATAATTATCATGAATAAATAAAAATAACATGCACTTGCCCAAAATTAATAAACCCTGACTTCACAAAATTATCAGGAGACTATAGATAACCTTAAGGATCACATGACCAAAACAACAAGGAATAACTTCTAATGAAGGTGGCAGTAGCAATTAACAGCAGAAACAATATTTGCCAGTTCCAGATCAATACAAGAGGTTGTCTGTGCAGAGATACCAACAACATTAATGGTGGGACAACCCCAGGACACTGGTATGTGGGCCAATAAGAACAACGTGAACCTTAAGAGTTCAGGTTAATTTGAAGATGGGAAACAAAATAGTCATCATGGGTTAACTGAAAAATGGGATTTCCAGAACCCTAAAAATGTTGTAGAAATCTGTGTCATAAGTAACGGTAATAAAGAAGTACTTGAAAGAAATTGGTGATGTTGCTATAAAGTAAAATTAGATATTTAACTATTAGTTCTGTATACTCAGAGCTACACAGTGAATCTATACATAGAGATAATCAAAATAAAACATTTGAACTAAAATTAAAAAATATAAAATTCACATAAAATCCAACAAGTTATCTTTAGACAAATTAAAATATACTATAGAAAAATGATGATATCTTATATAACTGTTTATGGATGAATTTCTTATAATTCTAGAACAGTCATTTTATAACAAAACTACATTCTCAAGATATCAAATATTCCCAATTTTAATATCCAAATTCATTCAAAAGAGAAAAGTACTTATTTTTTTAATGTTTATTTATTTTGAAAGCAAGAGAGAGCAAGCTTGAGGAAAGGAGAGGCAGAGAAAGAGAATTCCAAGCAGGCTCCATACTGTCAGTGCAGAGGCCAATGTGGGGATTGATCTAGGGAACTGTGAGATCATGACATCAGTTGAAACCAAGAGCCAGATGCTTAATCAACTGGGCCACTGAGGAGCTCCAAGAAAGGCATTTATTAATAATGGGTTATAATGTCAAGCAAAACTCACGGAGACAAGATAACTATGATTTAATTTTCCCCACTGTAGAGGTTGTATAGGTTTTGGGAAAAGGCATGCTCAGCCATAACCCTTAATGCTCACAAAGGAAATCTTGTAAAATATATGAAACAACATTCATTCAGTGATTAAGCAGTCCCACAAATTGCAGGTATAAAACAAAGAGCACTAATTTGTTGAAGAAGGAACAAGGGCATACACATGGAATGAGCACTGTTGTATGAACAAGTTTGGTCACCAGTCTCAAAGATAGGGTCATGAAGGCAGACCATGATCTCACTAGAATAACTTCCTGTATTTCTTCACGCCAAATCAAAGGTGATAACTCTTAGTGAACTCGATCACCACAACGACAGTGCCCCCCGAGAGACACTGTCATAACACTCCAAAAACCGGAAGTCCTGGAGCCCTAAGCCAGGCTCTCATGTAATACTTGATGACAGCATCCTGGAACATGCTGACCACTCTACTCAGGTGCTTTGGAGGCACAACTCCACTTAGCAGAAGGGTGCTGTGACATCTAAATATAAGTGTCCTCCATCTAGAATGTTGTTTTTAACCAGTAAAACTTTGCATGGGAGAGTTCACAACACAAGTTGTCCAGCACCTAAACGGTGGGTTATCACAGCAGAAAATATGAGGATAAAATTTCAGACAGTGAGAAAGTATATTTCAGAACCAACAACATTTCAGAGGCAAACCACATAAATAGGATCCTGAGCATGAAATCAGGGAGAGCCAAGGTTTTCCCATATTCCCAGACTAAGGAAGACCTGCAAGACAGAGACGAAGAAGATAGGAGAGTAAGAAAAGGGGGTTATACTTTGTGGGATGTTGAAACAGGACCTGGGGTCTCTCTACAGACTCTAGGCTGATGCCTGAGATATGGTCCCCAGGAAGGACTGGGGATCAAACAAAGGTCCTCCTTCCTCACTCCCCCCCCCCCCGCCCCCACATACACTGTCTTTACAGCATTGCTGTGTAACAATCTCAAAACACCCACTCCATTCCCAGTACACATGCCCCTAGAGGGCGAAAATGGAAATGAAGAAATAGCGGAGGCATGGGGCAGGCAAAGGGCTTGAGACAAACCATGCACCTGACTCTGGCTCCAGATGCAAAAGAGCAGCTAATGTTCCCATGATGATAGGTCACTGAAGCACATGAAACAGGATACAAGCTGGAGAAGACCCACAGTCAGGACGAAGGGGGCCTCAGCTAAGATCTGTGACTGACTACAGAAGGAGATGCAAGAAGGAAGAATGGCCCTTACATAGAGCCCTCCATGTGCTCCCCAGGGTTGAATTAAGGGGCCGTAGGGGCAGAGAACAGCATATCTGGGTCATGATAAAGACTTTGCCCTTGTAACTGCCTGGAACTGCAGTATCACTGAGGGCAGGACCATACACATATGAAGAAGAGAGTGAAGGAGAATAACATCTTCCTTTGAGAGCCCATAAGAGATCAACTCTTCTTTTCCAAACACCTCTCCCATCTGAGGAGACTGTCCCAAACAACATTTCAGGGAGTCAACTGCCATCTGATGCTTACTTGGCTTCTCATCTTTGATGCCTTCCCACCCACCTGAATTTGTCGCTAGTTTTACCTCACTGTTGGCTGTCCAGGGCTCTCCCTTCCTCCACAATGGAGATAATAGTCAGCTCAGAAACAGAGTCTTGCTGACATGGAAACTGGTAGATGATATCCTGCAGCTTCTCCATAAACTAATCCCAGCCCTTTGTCAGCTGAGACCAAGGACATGCAACACAGGCAGGCTGTGCAGAACACTTCACAACTTTGTTCAGTGACCTACTTCTTCCAAATGCTTAAATGCTTGACATATATAGATATCCAGCTCTCTTCCCAGAAGTACTGGCTCAAGAGTCAGGAGTAAGACCAGGCAATCCAACATTCTAAAGTTTTGGCAGGTCTTGTTTCTCCTCAACCTCTAGCACTATCACTAACCTGCATGCAGTGAGCAGATCATCTGAAGAAACAGCGCCATTTCAAACCCAGACACCTCATTGTGAAGCTTTTCATTTCTCAATCAGCAGGGCTTCAATCTCAAACAGGGCAGGGACTCTCAAGTGACTCCCAAAAGAAACACAAAGATCCCCTAGGGCAGCTCCCAACCTCTGCAGGGAAACTATCCTCACCCAGGGAGACCAGGTTCCTGTAGGTCTCCAGCATCACGTCCCTGTACAAGGCCCTCTGAGCGGGGTCCAGGCACTCCCACTCCTCCTGAGAGAACTCTATGGCCACATCCCTGAAGGTCAACCGTCCCTGAAATGAAAGCACATTTCACCAAGAGGCCATCAGGAGAGCACTTCTTTCACAAAAATGAGAGGAGGAGAGAGGTGTAAGCGTCAGCTAGAAATGAGTAATCAGATATGTACATAAAAGATCATTTTAAGCAAGTCATTTTGCTTTGTCACACTTTTCCATCAGAGAATTTCCATCAGATAAACTACAGAGAATTTTACAATATTGTGTCACATAAAATTCACAAATGAAAAAACTTCAACAAATGCTAGACTATATGCCAGATCTAGATAGTATGTTGTATACACCTTATAACACCTAATTTCTACTTGAGCTAGATCACGAGTAGTGTCTTCAGGGATGACCCAGTCCAAAGTAGCATCAACGAAAGGTGAAAACAAGAAAAATGAGAAGCTGATGACAACAGAATCAACTAGAAGTTCTCAACACTTCTTATATGGTTAAGTATCATTCTACCTGTAGAAGAACAGAGAATCCAATTAAATTAGTAGTTGTTCCCATCATACACAGGACCCAACTCTCACACACATTCTAAGGAATGTGTGTCAGTTAGTCAGGTAATATATGGCAAGGCCTATCCCTAAGCAAGTGGTCAGGCTTTAGCATGGAACCCACAGGGCCTCACAGGGATGTAATGGACACACAGTGAAAGTCTGTTCAGAGAACTTCCTAACGGAGAAAATACGAAATAAGTTCATGGGTGAAACATAAGCCTGGATAAAGAGAAATATATTTGCTTGCACAGGCGCATGTGCACACACAGTATTCATACTGCTGTTACCTCATGTAGGTGATGGCACAGAAAAAAATTTAAGGCATGGAAAACATGTCAGACATACTTTCAAAGTTAAAATAAATCTGAAACTTATTTCTGTAATGACACAGTCTTTATACACACCACAGGCTCTTGCTCACATATGTGTGCACACACAACATGTATACTGAAAAAAAAATGAAGTCAAATTAACAGTCTCTACATAACATTTTTTATAGGTAACTCTCCATTCTCTATCATTTTTACTCATGTGCATTTTGGCATTTCTAGTACAATAAACACGTATGAATTGCATTAAAGGTAAATAAAATTGTTAATGTTACTCTATTTAGCCTGCTTACAAAAACAACCCTGCGAAGAAAAAAAATTTAAGTAATCACACTCCCAATGTCTGGCTCAAACTTCCAGATCAAGAGTCACTTGATCTACCTACTGAGTCAGCCAGGCAGCTCCCTGCAAAAACAATATTTAAAAATAGTAACAAGTAATTCAATCTCCATTAAATACATATTCAGTTGAAGTATGAACTGAAGGGGTGCCTGGGTGGCTCAGTTGGTTGAGCTTACAACTTCAGCTCAGGTCATGATCTCAAAATTAGTGGGTTAAAGCCCCACATCAGGCTCTGTGCTGACAGCCAGCTCAGAGCCTGGAGCCTGTTTCAGATTCTGTGTCTCCCTCTCTCTCTGACCCTCCCCTGCTCATGCTGTCTCTCTCTCTCAGAAATAAATTAAAAAAAAAAAAAAAAATTAAAAATTAAAAATTAAAAAAAATATATGAACTGGAATTTGCGTGGAGATAGAGGGGGTGAGGGAAGGTTCTGGGGTGAGCGTGAGCAGCAGGTCAGGAGGGACACTTCAGAGTGAGATGAGCACGTCCCAGTGGCAGTGGAGGACACAGAGGACAGAACTAGAAACCCACATATGACTTTACCTGAGAAAGAGTCATTCTTGAGTCCTGGGCTTTCCTCCTCTGTGCTTCTGTTCCAGGCAAGATGCGTCTTGAGACGTCAACCCTAAATATCAAATATATGCTGGTTAATGCTTAGAGTTAACATACCCCTTTCTGTGCCACAACTGCATGGGAAGGCATGTGGGAGACAGGCCTCATCTGCCCACTGCCACAGGAGGGGTTCAGAACAGTAAACTGCCAGGCAGAGACCTCTTTCTGCAGAACACACTCCCTTCTCGTGAGGCATGTGTACGCGCGCGTGCACACACACACACACACACACACACACACTGCACCAGGGAGGGGTCTGGGCTGCACTAACGCTCCCCTTAAAGTCACAGGCCCCCCCTGATAACACCCCATGTTGAGGACTGACTCCCTCACCTCTCTGGACCAGGGGCTGTTTTCAGTCCTCATTAACACATGAGCCAGAGCCCTGGTGCCCAATGCTCGACAAGTAGAATCCGCTGGGGAATTCTGAACACCACTAAGTCCAGTCCCCATCACCCCAAACACAAGAAGGGAATTCTGTGGAAACTGGACACAAGAGGCATCTGCAAAATACCTCAGTATTCCAACGTAGTCAGGGGCCACCAGCCCAGCACACCTCCCACCTAAGGCTCTGCTCTCCCCGGGGCCCTGTCCCCTGTATCCAGTCAGCTGGAGGAAGGAGCAGACAGACCCATGCAGAGCAGGCATTACAGGCCAGAGCTGGGGTGGGGGTGAGGCTAGAATGTGACAGGGCAGTGTCTGGGATGGCCCCACAAGAACGGGATTATCACAACAAAGCCCTGGGGAAGCAAGTTCACCACGTGCATTTAAGGAGTCTCGGACCTCTAGGCAGAGGGACCGCCCTTGGGAAAGCCCTGATGCAGTGCTGACCCTGGCCCCAGGGACAGCAAAGACACCTGTTTGCCTCTATCCGAGGGAGGGGGGAGGAGGACGCAAGCAGGGGATCAGGTGACAGAAGTAGGTCAGGAATAGCTGGCCACGGTCTCAGACACTGTCCTACCCCATCCCAAGTGAATTCCAGAAATCATGTAGTATTTTCCCCATATTATATATATATATATTAGGGAGAGAGAGAGCATGCGCACATGCGGGAGGAGCACGTCTCCCCCCCCGCCGCCCTCTCCCTCGTCCGGCCGCTTTCCTGGCCTCCCTGCCGCAGTCGCGGCTTCCACCAGGCCCCTCATCCTCGGTGCGGGAGGTGACCTGCGCTCCGACACGCCGTCCTCGGTCCCGCCCCTGAAAGCCCACTCTCAACAGTGTGCTCTTCCCGGGCATCGGTCCTCTCACCGCGTGCGGGGGTGCAGGGCGGATTCTCAGGAGGCGGCAGGGTCTGCGCAATCCCAGCGCCAGACTCCGAGCCCGGATCGGCCCAGACGCGCCGGGCTGCGCGCAGAGCGCTCCAATCCACGCCGCACTCCCGTCTCCCTAGACTCACGCGGCGCGAGGCGCACGGGTGCCCTGGGACACAACGCGGCAGGCGACGTCTGAAGGCCCGAGGGCCCGAACGCCAGAGGCGGGGACCGACTCGGAAAGACCCGAACCGAAACGAACCGGGACCCCCGAGCCGACAGCGCCGCCCTCGGGCTTCGGGGAGTCCGCGATGCCAGACTTACCGCGGGGAGAGGCGTGGGGGAAGGGACGTTAACGAGCATTAAGACCCCCGACCCTGGGCGCGTACAAATGTGACTGGAGACGCTCACGTATTAAAGTTCAAAACCCACTGAAGCCGATGTGACCTTCGCTTCTGCCAGCCGCTTCCGGGTCTTTCAATAACTGCGCGTCAGAGCAGGTGGAAGGTCGGGAATGGGACAGGCCTGGAGCGAGCGCTTCCGGTAATGGGCGGGGTGCGTCTATTGGCCAGGCCCCGACGGCCGGGCTGGGGGCGGGATTGGGGCGGGGCCTAGGTGAAGCGATTCGCGCAAAGGGCTGGACGCACGCACTTGCCAGGCCTTGGCCCAACGCTGCGGGCGGCATGGGGCGGAGCTTCGGGGGAGCGCTTCCGGAATGGGAGGAAAACGAATAGGCCTCTGGACCCAGAATGGCGGCAAGGCGTCGACAGGGCGGAACCTAAGCAGTCTGTTTCGCCCCCGAAGAGCCGCGGTGTTCGCTGGGACTGGGGCTTGAGGGCGAGGCCAAGACCTCTGGGCCGGGTGTGCGGGAGAGGGGAGTGGTCTCCTCTGGGTGTCCACCGCTGGGCGTGTCTTTTTTGGAATTTCTCACCCTCTTGGTTGTGTTTTGTGTCCTCTGGATCAAGACTGTTCCCTCCCCATTTTAAGTTCATGCTTTCAACAGTTTCAGGTAGAGCTTGGAGTTGTGTGGGCCATTTGTGTTGAAAGTTTACATTTTACTAAAGGTCCACTTGTGTTGAAAGTTTACATTTTACCAAAGTGAAAATGACTTTACTCAAAAACTATTTCCGGGACAATCCCTTTCTCTCTCTTTCGCTGCCCCTGCCCCACTTGGACTTTCTCTCTCAAAATACATGAACTGAAAACAACAACAACCTGTTTCCACAACAAGAAAACTAAGCCTTGGCAAGGATGTGGAGAAAAACGAACGCCCCTGCACTGTTGGTGGGAATACAGTGTGAAGGTTGCTTAAAACTTTTAATTGTGTAACTACCTTATGACACAGTAATTTCATTGCTGGGTATTTACCCACCTAATAGGAAAACACTGGTTCACAAAGATATATGCACTCCTGTGTTTATAGCAGCATTATTTATAACAGCCAGATTTTGGAAAGTAGGCAAGTGTCCATCCATAGAAGAATGGGTAAAGAAGCCATTGTATAAATACACAATGGATTATTAGCTATAAAACGGAGTGAAATCTTGTTCCAAAAGACATGGATGGAGCTAGAGTGTATTATGGTAAGTGAAATAAACTGGTCAGAGAAGGACAAATACCATAGAAATTCACTCACGGAATTAAGGGGAGGGGGAAACAAAAGGGGAAAAAAGAGACATTTTTTTTGATTCTTTTTTTTTTTTTTTTACTCTCTCTAGAGAGAGCACGAAGGAGAGAGGAGCAGAGAGAAAGAGAGAGAGAGAGAATCCCAAGCAGGCTCTGCACTGTCAGCGCAGATCCTGACAGACTACAGCCTTGATCTCACCAACTGTGAGATCACTACCTCAGCTGAAATCAAGAGTCAGACACTGAACTAACTGAACCACCCAGGTGCTTCCCCCCCTCCCCTCAAACAGACCTTTAACCTTAGAGAACTTATAGTTAGCAGAGTGAGTGGGGAGATGAGAGAACTAGGTGATGGGGATTAAGACTACACTTATAATGAGCACTGGGTAATAAATATACAGATTGGTTGAATCATGCATGATACTGTACACCTGAAACTAATGTAACACTGCATGTTAACTATAATGAAATTAAAATTTTAAACTTAATTTAAGAAAACTTCACAAAGTGGTAGAGATGCACATCCTGCGAGAGGCAGGCAGGGTCTGCAGTCTGGGACTAGGTCCCTCATGGGGAGTCTATGTGGGGCCATGGCTGGATCCAGAAATGTCTCCTGCATTAGAATTTAAGCAATTTAACTAAGTAAGGAGTGCTCCTGTCTGTGTAGGGGATGCAAACTGAAATGTGGTATGCAATACTACCAATGTGAAATGTGCCATTATTTACCGACATTTTTCAGAACCTCATTTCCATTTCTATCCCCATTTACCATGTGCTCAATCCTGTGTTCATTTCCAGAGATGTTCATAGCCACAAGTCCTGGGGTGTGGGAGATGAGGGATAAGGCGTGATAATTTATCTTACCAACTATTGCTAAAACAAAAACAACAACAAACAAAACACCAAAACTTCAAAATGTGGAACTAAGCTGAGTCGTTCTTTATATTTGTTATCGTGTTCCACAATTGAGGTGACTGATAAACTCAAATAACTTTCAGGTAATCTTTGTGACATAAAAATTCATTTCTCAGTAATTTCTAAATATAATTTCAAATTCACTTTACTCTTTTTAACTTCAGAAGTTTTATTTTTAAAAAATTTTTATAGTTTTTAATTTCACTTAGCTAACATGTAGTGTTGTATTAGTTTCAGGTATAAAATATAGTGACTCAGCATCAGCCATCAGACAACAAAAGGAAATCAAAGGCATCAGAATTGGCAAAGAGGAAGTCAAACTTTCACTCTTCGCAGATGACATGATACTCTACATAGAAAACCCGACAGACTCCACCAGAAGCCTACTAGAACTGATCCAAGAATTCAGCCAAGTTGCAGGGTACAAAATCAACGTACAGAAATCGGTTGCATTTTTATACACCAATAATGAAGCAACAGAAAGAGAAATCAAGAAACTGATCCCATTCACAATTGCACAAAAAACCATAAAATACCTCGGAATAAACCTAACCAAGGATACAAGAGATCTGTATGATGAAAACTATAGAAAACTTATGAAGGAAATTGAAGAAGACACAAAGAAATGGAAAAACATTCCATGCTCATGGATAGGAAGAATAAATATAGTTAAGATGTCATTACTACCTAAAGCACTCTACACATTCAATGCAATTCCAATCAAAATTGCACCAGCATACTTCTCAAAACTAGAACAAACTATCCAAAAATTTGTATGGAACCACAAAAGACCCCGAATAGCCAAAGTAATACTGAAAAATAAAACCAAAACGGGAGGTATCACCATCCCAGACTTCAGCCTCTACTACAAAGCTGTCATCCTCAAGACAGTATGGTATTGGCACAAAAACAGACACATAGACCAATGGAACAGAATTGAGAACTCAGAAGTGGACCCAAAAGTATACAGCCAACTGATCTTTGACAAAGCAGGAAAGAATATCCAATGGAAAAAAGACAGCCTTTTTAACAGATGGTGTTGGGAGAACTGGACAGCAACATGCAGAAGAATGAAACTAGATCATTTTCTCACACCATGCACAAAAATCAACTCAAAATGGATAAAGGACCTGAACGTGAGACAGGAAACTATCAACACCCTAGAGGAGAAAGCAGGAAACAACCTCCTTGACCTCCACCGCAGCAACTTCTTACTTGACACATCCCCAAAAGCAAGGGAATCAAGAGCAAAAATAAACTGTTGGGACCTCATCAAGATTAAAAGCTTCTGCACAGCCAAGGAAACAACCCAGAAAATTAATAGGCAACCAACGGAATGGGAAAAGATAGTTGCAAATGACATATCAGATAAAGGGTTAATATCCAGAATCTATAAGGAACTCACCAAACTACACGCCCGAAAAACAAACAACCCAGTGAAGAAATGGGCAGAAGACATGAACAGACACTTCTCCAAAGAGGACATCCAGATGGCCAACAGACACATGAAACGATGCTCAGCATCCCTCCTCATCAGGGAAATACAAATCAAAACCACACTGAGATACCACCTCACGCCAGTCAGAGTGGCTAAAATGAGCAAATCAGAGAACTCTAGATGCTGGCGAGGATGTGGAGAAACGGGCACCCTCCTACACTGTTGGTGGGAATGTAAACTGGTACAGCCCCTCTGGAAAACAGTGTGGAGGTTCCTCAGGAAACTAACAATAGAACTCCCTTATGACCCAGCAATAGCACTGCTAGGAATTTACCCAAGGGATACAGAAATGCTGAGGCATAGGAGCACATGTACCCCAATGTTCATAGCAGCACTCTCCACAATAGCTAAAACATGGAAAGAGCCTAAGTGTCCATCAACAGATGAATGGATCAAGAAGATGTGGTTTATCTATACCATGGAATACTACATGGCAATGAGAAACAATGAAATCTGGCCATGTGTAGCAACATGGATGGACCTTGAGGGTGTTATGCTGAGCGAAATAAGTCAGGCAGAGAAGGACAAATATCATATGTTTGCACGTATAGGAGGATTAGGAGGAACTTGACGGAGGAACAAGGGGGAGAAGAAGGGCGGAAATGGTGGGGGAAAGGGAGAGAGGCAAACCATGAGAGACTCTTGAATGCTGACAAAAACTGAGGACTGATGGATGTGGGGGGGAGGGGGGATGGGCATGGAGGAGGGCACTTTGGGGATGAGCACTGAGTGTTATGTGGAAAATAATTTGACATAAATAAAAATAAAAATAAAAAATAAAAAGGGGCGCCTGGGTGGCTTAGTCGGTTGGGCCTCCGACTTTCGCTTAGGTCATGATCTCGCGTTTCGTGGGTTCGAGCCCCGCGTCGGGCTCTGTGCTGACTGCCAGCTCGGAGCCTGGAGTCTGTTTCGGAGTCTGTATCTCCCTCTCTCTCTGACCGTCCTCTGCTCATCCTGTCTCTCTCTCTCTCTCTCCCCTAGAAATAAATAAAAATAAAAAAATAAATAAAAAAAATCTTAAAAAAAAAAGAAAATAATTTGACAATAAACTATTTGTAAAAAAAATAAAATAAAATATAGTGACTCAGTAATTCTATACATCACCCAGTGTTCATCAGAACAAGTGCAATCCTTAATCCTCATCACCTATTTAATCCATCCCCCCATCCACCTCCCCTCTGGTAACCATAGTTGTTGTTTTTTTTAATTTTTAAGTTTATGTCTTTATTTTTGAGAGAGAGAGAGACAGAGTGAGAGAGAAGGAGAGAAAGTGGGTGGGCAGAAAGAGAGGGGGAGAGATAAAATCCCAAGCAGGCCTCCCACTGTCAGCACAGAGCCGGTCACAGGGCTCGAACCCACAAACCTTGAGATCATGACCTGAGCTGAAATCAAGAGTCAGATGTTTAACTGAGCCACCCAGGTGCTCCCTACCCCCATCAGTTTGTTTTCTATAATTGAGTCTGTTTCTTGGTTTGTCTCTCTCTCTCTCAT